TATTGTCACCTATGAACTCTGGTCACAGTCCCTGGTCACTAAAGATATGTCTACCTGGCTCCCTTGTTCCCTCCAAGTCCTGCCTTTACTCTGGATGACTTCACCACCCAAATTCTATGAGCTGCTGCGTTCTGAAGCTTTTTGTCTCCACTCCAACACAGGCTCATTTCAGGCCAACTTAGGACACTACCATAGAAGTACCTTACCACTATGACTTTAAATCCAAACATTCTGCTCTTCCCCTAATTTCCTTTCACTCTACCTAGCTCACTCATTTCCCCTCACTATACCTGCTCATGACTCTAACTCAGACCCGTAGCCCCTTAGCTCTGACTACTCTCCCCACAGCCCCTCCCACTTCGCTCACTCCTTCCCCACCCAGTTTGGATGTCACCTTGCCCATACCCTCTTTTTCTTTGTCCCTTCCACAGAATTTGTCCAGCCAGAGTCCAAGCTTGGACCAATCTGGCTATTTTCTTCTTCCATTACAACCCACCTTATGGGCTGCAGAGCACTAGTGGGGGACAATCACATATGGCTGCACAGCGTCTCACATCAGCTGGCCTCACCGGTTCCAACAATCTGGCCTCCTGTTCTGTACTCCCTCTCCCATTCTCCACAACAGCTCCAACTTCTAACCGACCTTCATGACTGTCACTTTCCGATGGCTTTGCCTCCCACCTCAGAGAAACAATGTGTTCGGATGAAAAACCCCTCAGCCTGCTGCTACGAAACGTGTGCTCTCAACTGCACCTGCCAGTTTCCTGTCTGTCCTGTTGTAGTTGAAGGGTCCCTCCTTTGCCTAAGGGGCCTCGCCATCAGGGCTGTGGGAGCACTTCTCAGAGCTCCTACCTCTCAAGTATTCCCTCTCTTTCTCACAGTTTCAACTTCCTGTCTATTGACTCATTCAAACTTCTCTTATCATCAAACAAAACCACACCCTTTCTCTCCTTCCTGACGAGTCTTAGAACAGACTCTCTTTCCTAAGCTCTCACTCGCCTCTCAAACTGCCTGGCTCCCCATTACGTGCCACCTACTACTCCCAGCAACTCCAATGCACAACATGAACCTTCAAGAATCAGGCTGGCACTCATGGCCGCCGGGCCTGCGTGTGGCCCCCGGGCCTGTGCGTGACCGCTGGGCCTGAGCCTGCGCGTGGCCACCAGGCCTGCGCGTGGCTGCCGGGCCTGCGCCTACGTGTGGCCGCCGGGCCCGAG